CCGGAGCAGCAAATTTGCAGTACTGGAAACTGTGACCAGCGGCAGGGAGCAGCAGAAAAGCAGAACTGGCAGAACTGGACCAGCGGCAGGGAGCACAAAAAAAACACAACTGAAACTAGTTTCTCTGAGTGAGGAGCACAAGAAAAGCACAACTGAAATTAGGCTTTTCTGATTGAAATCCAGATGAACTTTGGGAGTCGTCCGAAAACCACGAAACTAGACCACAAAAAAAAGCACAAAAGAAACACAAAAAAAAACACAACTGAAACAAACAAAAAGCACAAAAAAAGCACACAAAAAAGCACAAACTTCAAAACTGACCAGATTCATTATGTAAAAAGGCACAAAAAAGACCACAAAAAAAGCACAAAAAAGCACAACTGAAATCAGAAAAAAGCACAAAAAACAGCACAAACAAAGCACAAAAAAAACACAACTGAATCAGGAAAAAAGCACAACTGAATTGGCCTGGAAACTGACCAAAACAGATTCAGCTTGAATTTTTGAAAAACTGAAACTGCAAATTTTGAAAAGCGTTCCAAAACCCTTGGATTTGCTTTTGAAATGGACAGGTGGCCCAGGCGACCCAGGAGGCCTGGGGGTCGGGTTGGCCGAGGCCCCAGCCCAGCGCTGCCAGGCCTTTCGGGCTGCCCCCCCCTCCAACAGCATATGGTTACAACGACTATTGCTCGGGTGGCTCCCTGCAATCATAGAATCCTATTCCAATCATTCAGGTTTCTACATTCAGACTACAGACGAAAGCCCAATTCTGGCCATTCTCTTCATGCAGAAAACAGGTCATTTTCCCGAACCTGCCTTTTCCATTTTGATTTCGGTGTTTTGGAACGGGTTTTAGCCTTATTCCCGAGGGCAGGGCTTAATTGTTGCACTCCCCCCTTAATTGGGAAAATTAACAGTACAGGGTTTCAGGTCTCAGAGTTTGGGTGTTTTGGTCTGCTGTTCGGTTTTAGGGGTGGGCCAAATAACTTGCGCGCACAACAGTCCGCCGAGTTTCTTTCAATTCGACTACTTTGCGCTCCCAAAATGTGAAGCATTCAAGTTTTTCCAACAAGTGGTGAAATGCCGGTGTATTTCAGATTGGAGTTTTGAGTGAACCTACATGATTTCAGTTGTGCTTTTTTTGTGGTCACTGTTATAGGCTCGGGGCTGCCCTCCACCTAAACCCCTATAAACCATTTCCTGGCCTGAGGAATGCCTGGATACCTACGACACGCCGGAGAGCGGCCGGGGGTGGAGAGTCTACAGTGGCGTCAGGGTTGTAGTTAGGGTCATGGGTCTTTTCGGGTGTAGCGTCAGGCATCTATGGCTGTGGGGCCTTTAAACTTTGGGTGTTTAGGCATTAGCGGCTTTGGGTTGTAGGCTCTGAGGGCTTCAGGGCTTCAGGGTTGCGCTCTTAGGGCCGCGCGTCTCTTACACACACATTTGCAAGAGCAACTTGAGCACAGTCAAGGTAGTCTTCCTGTCCTAGTGAGTGTTGTGCTAAGGAGGAGGACAGGAAAGCTTGGAGTTTCGCGTTTCGCGAACAACAATGCCTCGTGCATGCGCAGGAGAACTTCCGCTTCTTCCGTCGCCACTCGGGACTGCTGGGACACGACATCGCGCACGTTGGTAATCCAGATGCGACCTGGCACAGACCGGCAGAACTGAGGAGACGACAAAGGGCGACTTACAAACAGACGGAGCTACAGACCGAGGCCGACACCGAGAGACAAACAAACAGCCAGACAGGCAGAACAACAAACAAACGAATCAGAGAGGGAGAGAGACCCACCCAAACACACAAGCATCGCAAGCACTATCACACTTGCATACTCCACGCACCTCTGAAACCTTAATTAAAGCATTCCCAAAACGGATGCAGTGTTTGTTTCAAACATCACATCGAAACCTCCAATCTCCACACTGCACTCTGTGTGATTGCAGGCGGCGGTGACACAGAGAAAAACCAGAGGTACCCTTGCAATGAAGTGAAGACATTCCCCAGAGCTCCAGGCACTGCCAAGCTTCGCCTCAGGTCGCAGGAGATACTGGTAAAGCCGCCGCTGCATGTAGATGGGTCGTTTTCAGGAACACCTTACGCACCATCCAAAACGCTGGCACGTTTCGGACAGCTTGCATGCCCAATGGCTGGAAATGCGCATGCCCCCCGCCCACCCCATGGGTTTTGATATGCGATGTCGCCGCTCGGTATGTCATGTTCGCACGTCCGCAGCGCGAGAAAGCCAGTGACCAACCAGCAAGGCCATCAAGGCCCACACAAGCAGCACGATTCTCCAGCTTAGCACGTCAGTAGCCGAGGTGTGCACGGCAGCCGGCCACAGCTTCTTCTGGGGTATGCTCGTCTTCCGTTTGGAGCAAGCCCCAGGCTGCGAGTTTGAGGTTGTTCAGTTTCCGTCTTCCTCGTGTCATGACTACGGCCGACCGATAGTATGAGTTGTCTTGACCGTCTTGGAATCGTCACAGCAACACCGCAGTCGCAGTACTGGTGGTGGTGGTAGGTAGTGGTAGTGGTGGTGGCAGTAGGTGCCGAAGTCGCAGTCGTAGTAGCCGTCGTCGTCGTCGCGTAGTGGCAGTAGTAGCAGCAGTAGCAGTAGTCGTCGTCGTCGTCGTGCTGGCGGTGGTAGTGGTAGTGGTAGTGGTAGCAGAAGCAGCTGTATAATTTTGGTGGTAGAAGAAGGGCATCCCAGGTACAAGCAAAAGTAGACGAAGTCACGCGTAGTGGCGTAGTGACACGGTCTGAGTGATTGTGTCGCCGCTGGACCACAGTACTAGGACCTAGTGGGAGCGAGATGAGGAGGCACACGAGCAGCAGCAATGGTACCAGCAGCAGCCACGCCCGGTCATCCTTAGCTGCATTGTGAGTATGGCGGCTGTCATTATCATCGCCATCGCTGATGGCATAATGTCGATGACTGTGGTAACAGTTCTTGTCTTGCGTGTCTTCGTTGCCTCAATTATACATAGACTACTTAATTTTTCTCAATGCTCTGAAAGTTTCTTAGCAAAGCAACTGCAGATGAATGATCGTCACGGTGTCTGTGTGGGGTTGCTACGACCTGGGTCCGCGAACGAGAACCCTCTGAAACGGAAGGCCGTACGCAGGCCTTGCTTCCGTTTGGTTGCTATTCCATTTGTAAACATCGTTGTTGGGAATGTCTGTGAAGGTCCCAGGCTTGGGGGACCCTAAGGGTCTAGCTGTGCCAGGCTATCCTCCCCGAGACGTCGGGCTGGAGTTCAGCCTTTGCGTGCCCAAAAGCTGCTCCTTTTCAGTTGCAGCTCGGCATCCTCATCTTCATGCAAGGGGAAACCAGAGCAACAGTTGTGTGTGTGTGTGTGTCTCTGTCTCTGTGTGTGTGTGTGTCGCTGTCTCTCTGTCTGTGTGTGTGTGTGTGTTTGTGTGTGTGTGTGTGCGTGTGTGTGGTGTGTGTGGTATGTGTGGTCTGTGTGCGTGTGTATGCTTGTGTGCGTGCGTGCGCGTGAGTGCGTGCGCGTGCGTGTGTGTGTTTTAGAGGGGGGGATTCAGATGGAGCACGAAGATGAGTACGAAAGCAAAGAGGGCTAAGATTGTGATGACCATTGATTGTGTCGCCATGCCTATAGCATGATAACCATGACTCGGACCATGACCATGAAAGCGTCTAGTCTAGGCTTATAGGTTTAGCCGTTTAGCCCTTAAAGCCGTAGACCACGCATGGTACGTGCAGAAATCCTGAAATCGCAAAGCCCAAGACCCAAAGGTGAAGACGAAACTCTACTTGATGCAAGCATCTGTGGCGCCCTGACAGGTAGAAACCATCTTCGTGCCGTACACGCTGGGGCGCTACCTTGGCCTCGACTGGGGCCCCGAGACCCCGGAGGTCATGTCGAGGCGAAGATTCTTGTGGTATCTTCTTTGTTTTGTTAACATAAGCACCTCAATAATTAGAATCGGGATTGTAGTATACCCATCATAAGATCCCTGAGGGATGAAAGGCAGTGTTAGGTTTCTGTGTTTAACCCTGTCGATATGAACATTGAGATTCAGATTCAAGAATTCTACCCATAGAAGCCACGATAACTTTGCTGGCCACCATCAAAACAATGGCCACGGCTTTTTTGCAGACAACCGCAACTAACCATGACCTTCGCCAGGCATCCATTGCTGATGAGCGACAGTAGTCCACAATGAGTGCAGCCTTCGCTTCCAGTGTTTGTTCAGAGGGATCTCATTTTCATGGTTCTGCAAAACGAAAGGGATGTTAAACACAACCAAAGGTCTGCATTCCGTCGTGGTAACTGCTCTGTGCGCATGATCCAACTCACCAAGCGCACAGGTGGAATGTGGACAAGGCGAATACGATCCCTGTAGAGGACGTGACTTTTGTCGTTTGAGTTGCTCTTTGTGAGAGTCGAACACCAGCGTTTCGGGGTGCTATGGGGCGAGCCATAGGCCGAAACCCAGCTCGTCTTCAGATGCTTCCAGGTACCCTACACCCTGAACCCTGCCAGGACATGGTGAATCACTTCGTCCACAAAGTCGCGTGATCTGCAGACGTCAGGTCTCAGGTCGGTTTCGGGTTTGGGGATGTTTGGGGTTTAGCGTTGGGCTAGGGTTTCGAGACCCGCGACCCTTAAGATGCCAAAGCCTTGCAGCAACTCAAGTACCTAGGCCCTGAAGCGCAAAGCCCACCCCGGGGCTCTTTGGCATAGCTCGACCCCCATAAACGGGGATGCCTTAGCATGTTGACGGCCGCAGCTGGTTCATGCAACACACATTGTCACATAGCCTCGCTGGTCTGCGCATTCGCACATCCATGTGCATGCTGTCGCCCGGAGTCGAGCACGTGCTATCGCTCCAGCGTATTGCAGCAGCTGGAAAGTTGGGCGTCCCCTGGCGCACGTGAGCGATGCTTTGCAAGACGGTGACGCCGTGATGGTTTAGCTTGTGTCTGAGGCAGTTCCCGCACTCTGTCCAGATCCTTTTCGTGCCGCGGCTGGCCCTGGAGCTCTCTGATCTGTTGGATGTGGCAGGCGATGCCTCGTCCAGGCAGTTTGCTTCAGTTGTCTGCTTGCCTGGAGTTTTGCTGCATCACCAAAGCCATTGCAGCAGAACGGAGTCGTACCGTTCGCTCAGGTGTGAATTCGGAGGGCCTACTTTGTGTTGTTCTGCGCCGTTCGTCGCATCTGCCTCCTACAGGGTCAGGCTTGGCGCAGCCAATTGTCTGCAACATGAAACATGTTTAGACAACATGTTTCAGACAATCGGCTGCGCCAAGTATGTTCTGCAGGAGGCAGATGGGACAGTGACATTGGATATTGTTGTAAGCTTCCGAGAATGTTTCGCCGGGACTGGAGACGCCAAAACAAGTCTTCCCACCGGTCAATCGCTGATTCTCCGATAGGGATGCAAGACAATGTTAATCATACGCCAGCATGGATTCCCTCGTGTTGTGGGGTTGCAAGTGCCTGGGATGCGTATCATTGTTCAACGTGTCGTGCATAAAGAGACAGCAATCAGAAGTTCCGGAGCGCCGGCAGCTGCTCCTTCAGCCTCGGCAGCAATGTTCTCCGCATGGGCGGGGATGGACTTAGCCTGGACTTAGTGGTGCGCTTCCGTTGGCTGAAGTGGCATCCTTGGCCTTAGGGCCACTGAAAAGTTTTCCTGCAACGATGCCGTCCAATGCAAGCTTCGGCGTGTGCCTCACTTTGCCCGAGATTCCGTACAAATGCGAGGTCCCAGAATGTCTGCCCCTCAGCCACGCTCGAGCGAGGTCTTGGAGTTGCAGACTGGGCGCTCAGCCTGTCTATCGACCCCGCACTGGACGTGCTGATGGACTCCTCGAGCGAGAGAGTCTTGAGGCCCAATCTCTTGCCGTGCATTACTGCGTTGTCTCTGGAAGAGTAGTGGCTTGCGGAATGCATCTTCCTCAAGTGGGAGAACCAGAAAGACGGGGTGCTGGCACCTGCCCGAAGGTGGATGAACTCTTAAACTCTAAAACGTGACTTCCAAGTCCCGGCGCAGGAGCTTTGCGCAGTATGAGGTAGGACCAGGCCCTTTCGCAGAAAGTGACGTCAACGACATCCTCTTCGCGAACATTCGAGCTCTCTTGGTGCACTGCTGCGATGTGAAAGTATCTGCGAGGGCTCGCGCAGGCAATCTTGTGAACAATTATGGTTTGGTGGCCTGCCACTTGTGAAGAAACTGATTGCCGAAGGCAGGCCTGACTAGGTGCAAGACCTGCTGCCAGAGTCCGCCGAGATCAGTAAGGAGTCCTTAGAGCAGGCAATTCAGTGTGCAGAGCATCTTACGACCGTTCTGCGCGCGCTGACGAAGCCTCAGCGTCGGAAGTGGGTGTGCCTGCTGGTCCGAGCCCTCCAAAGTGAGGAGTCATTTTCAGGATCAGTTCCATAAGACACTGATATCTGATCTGATGCTCCTGTGGCGAGTTGATGACGTTCCCAGACGAACTTGTGCAGAAGCAGAGCAGCAACTGAAAGCTTTTTCAATTCGTGCCAACAGGGATTTGCAAGGAGAGATTTGGAGGCTCGACAACGGAAGCTTCGTCAAAAAGGAAGTGGACGTATGATTGTATTGGAGCCAGTGAAAAGAGCTTGGAAGACCTCCATGCCCTCTAAACCATCAGACACTACACCGGCCAAAACCTTGCAGCCACTTCCAAATTCCTTTTTCCGATTCCGCATAGTTCAATGTTCAAGACCAAAGTTCTGAAATCGACCCTTCGTTCACGCGCCGCGAACTTGACTCCATGAAGACAACAGTGTGCCCTGTAGTCGCATGCTACACGAGAGAATCAAGAGAAAACGGAGGAGGAGCAGTAGGAACATGAAGGATGATGAAGTAGTCCAGTGCCCTCAGCTGCCTGCACCCTCAACCCAAGTTGCCCTGCCCCACTTCGAAGGTGTGGCTTAGAAACCCTGAACTCTAAACCCTAGAGGCCCCATAAACCCCAAACCGCACTCTAAGCCCTAAACACCTGAACCCGAAGATGCCCAGATTGTGGCGAAGCATCCGAAGGGCCCTGGCGGATGGTATCAGCAGGAGCCGAAGAGTATAGTCAGGTCTCGAGGGTGTCATAGGCTCTGCTATGTGTTGATACAGGAGTTTTGGTTTCACTCATCAGGAATATTACGCCCGGCCGCAGCTTAATGTGCAAACTAAAACGTCGCAGGCCCCGAGGGTGTTTCTGGTCTTGGTTTGGGGCCTGCTATCTAGATTTGAAAGACATGGAAGCATCACCCCAAACACGAAAACCCCTACAGTAGGCAGGAAGTTCAGAAGCCTACAAACTTTGTGAGAGATACCCTAAACCCTAAACGCCCTAAACCCGATGGTCTCATCACCGCACTTCTCTGCTCACCCAGCCCGACGAGACAGCGAGCTTCGGCACTCGGGCTGTAGTTGCTGCACATCCTTGTTACAGTGTTGCTGTCGGGCATAGATTCTGTCGGCCGGACTTCTCCAACGGCACAACCTCTTTTGCTCTTGTTGCCGAGTATGCCCAAAATCTTTACCAACAGCAAAGATATTTGCACATAGTCTTCTCTATACGATGCGATGGACAATGCATGGCCATAGTTGCCACTCATGCCACCCCTTGAAAGTCCGAGCTGTTGAGACAGGAGTGGCCCTATCGACAAAAGCTGTGGCAGTACCAGCCGAGTTCCTAGACCTGTTGGCTTAGGGCTTTCTGCTTAGGGCTTTCTGCATTCAGGGAGTGGGCCGAAGTCCAGAAGGGGAGCAGATGGGTTTAAGGGTTTCAGCCTTTGCTTTTTCGGCTTAAGACATTTCAAAGATGGGTCCGTTGTTTGATAGCTTCCGAAACTAAGTAAGCGCTGCCTGGGATTATAAACATGAAGGAGCAAGCTCCTTCGCGTCTGTTTTACATGTTGTTGCGCCGAAGCCGTCCACAAGGGAATAAAAATCTAGACGCCCTGTCCTTCGAAGCATCAATCGACACCCCGCTTGGATGTCTAACTCGAGCCTTTTCGTCTTCTACGAAAAGCCTCAGGACAGAGCCCCAAAAAGCCTAAACCTCCCGCCCTCCGCAGAAAAGAGACTGTGCCCGTGCCGACCCCAAGGCTGGTGGCCAGGGCCCGAAAGCTGTGCGGTGCTCGCAGCACTGGCAGGGCCTCCACTGATCGCTGCTCGAATCCATTCAGGGGCCGGATACTTCGTGTGCCACTTGCTGTCCCGGCTGCTATCGCCATGACGATGATGATGATGATGATGATGGTCATCACCTGATCCTGCTTTGACCGTTTGAAGTCCTAACAGCTCGGGCAGCTCGGGGTCCGAGAGAGTGGTAGCATCAAAAAATACTAGGCAGAGACACAGTACAAGCATCTCCTTTGTGCATCTCTCTGTGCACTACGTTGCCGTATATAATTACTTAGCGTCTGTATGTAAATCTGCGCGTATATTGTGTGTGTGCGTGTGTACATATTTATAAATTTGTCGTCATTGCGATGCTTGTTGAGATTTTTGGACTCGGCAGGCTGGCATGTGTCTGCAGATGGCAAGCTGGTTTGGCTTGGGCGGCCTTGCTGAATTGACAGAGCGGTAAGAACTCAAGGCATCTGGCAGTAACAGATCTCAGACTCGCTACTCCTAGGATACGTTGCGTAGCGTCTGAGAACCGGTTTGCTTCCAAGCCCAGTGTTGGCGGCGCGACGAGGATGAGATGTAAATCCGTACACTGGCTCAAGGTCGCAAGGAGGCTTTGTGTTCAAGTTGCTTGTTCTAGTCATCTCAGTACTTGTGTCTTTGAGTGCATATGCATCTATGAGTTCGAGGGACAGAGCGTTGCACGTGTTTCTGTTTATTAATATATATATATATGTATGTATGTGTTTTTATGAGGACGTTTATACATAGACAAATACATATTCATCTACATATGCATACATACATACATACATACATACATACATACATGCTTGAACACTTAACTTCATACATACACGTAGAAATACCTAGGCAGTATACCAGCCAGCGAATGTTATATCTTCGAATGAACTTCACGCCTGTATGATCGGATGCACTCCTATGCATGATTTTTTGTTTATGTATGCAATTGCTGGGTGCTGCCATTTGGGAGTACTTATATATATATATATATGTGTGTGTGTGCGTGTGTTTGAGTTCGAATCCATCAAAATGTGCTGCAAGAAACATAGACTTCCGACCCTGGGTACTATGCCCATCGCCCCAACCCTCGAGTACGTTGCCCGAAGAGGTGCTCAGCACGACAAGGCCGCGCCCAATGGGAGCAGAAGCCTCTTGACGGACCATGAAGTTTTGGAATGGCTTTGACTACTGATGCGGGCCGTCTAGCGAAGCGTGAGATGGTTCCAGCGATCGCAAGGAGCTCGATGATTGCAGCAGCTCGCCGTAACCGCTGCATACGGGCTGAGGCGTTAAGGTTCATGTCTTCAAGCGTAGGTAAGTTGCAGAACTTCGTGTCTCAGTCCTCGGCCCGCATCGGCCGGGAATCAAGCAAAGCTTCATCTGCTCTGAGGACATCAGGGTCCTTTAGGATTGGGCACCTCGTTCTTGTGCGATGCCAGAGCGGGCACAAGTGATGCCGAAGTGATGTAGCCACTTGCTGCTTGACTAACACCCTCACGCGTGTCTGTCCCAGGCAACACCTCGAGCACAAAGCGCCTTCGCAATCATTACTGTATCCCGTATAATATTCTCCGTACGTTTAACTGAGCAATCCCCATGGTGAAACCGACCCCTCGTTTTCCACACGAGTATTCCAACCATGTCTTAGGGTTCTTACTGCAAGGTTCCTGGCTGTATGGCCTACGAACCTTCGCCCCGCAGCGGCACATCCACGACCTTTGGGTCGCCAGGACGCCCATCTCGGGGTTCATGCTGTTGTCGTTTCCCGTAAGCATGAGCAAAGCACGGCATCTGCAGCGATAGCAATGACACTGAGAATAGTACCCAGCCTAATCGCAGCAAGAGTAAGACTAGTGCTGTCAGCAAGAGTAGCAACACCCGCAAGGCCAGTAAGGGCTGAATTGATATGCGAATGGCAAGCTTGGACTGTTCCAAAACTGGGCTCTTCGGAGCAATTGCTGTCGAAGACACGGTATGTGGGGGGTGGAGCCATGTTTAGCCCTGCCGTGACTGTGGCAGACAACCTGGGGCAGAATGTTTGAGGCTCTAAGGTCTGGGGTCGGTGTGCGTTCCCTTCATGTTGTTGGTTTTGTTTGGTTTGGCCCTGTCTTTTGGAGCGCTTTCGGCATTCGAGCCGAATTGCGCAGGTTGTGGTGGCCTGGAGCGCCAGCCATATTATCCTCTCATTCTGATGAGCCCTCCCATGAATCGCAGCTCGTGTTCCTAGCAAGGTCAATGTCGGAGTTTAACCGGAAAAACCCTAAACCCTAAACCCTAACCCCTCAACCCTGAACCCTAAACCGTGCAGGCTTTCAGAAGGCTGCGGCCCCAAGCTCTTTTAGGGCCAATGGCTTCGAGCCTTTAAAACTCCGACCACCAACCTTTGTAGCAGCCCTGTCAAACGCTACAAATCTCGATAAAACCAGTATAGAGCTTTGTAAAGCCCTACGAAGCTCCTTCAATCGTGGGGAAGTAGGACAGCCCCCTATTGGTTACCCAAAACCCTTTTTTTTACTAAGCTCCCCCGAAAAAAAAAAGAGAAAAGAGCAGCTTCCCATGCAGCAGGAGTGGAGCTGAGGAGTTGCCCCAGCTCCACGTTCTTCGACTGATTCTTCAACTCCTGGAACCTCGGCTCAACTGAGCGGAGGTACCGAGGATACTATGGGCTATGGTGGGGTTTTGTAATGCTTTATATAGGTTGTTTGGCAGTCGGTTTTTGACTTTAAGGTTCGGGGTGCTTACAGTAGAAACTTTGACCTGATCTTGACCTAGGTGACCATAGATTGGCGACTCTTGCATGGATTATTCTGGCGTACATTTGACCGTGTGCCATAATGTGCTTCTACTTACCAATCACCAGAACCTCCTCAGCTGCATAGAGTTAAGTTTAGGGTTGCAGAACAGCTACAGGTCCAGACCTCACTAGGCCGGTGCATTCCGGAACATGTCAGAGCTGCGAAGCCAAGACAGAGATTTTGTGAGGTTTGCATTTCGAGCAGGTTGTGCAACAGTTTTTGCTTCTTGTCCACAGTCTTAGCAAGTTGCACGCTCAGCACTATCCACATAAAGCAGCATGCAATGATTTCTGTCTTCTGATCACAACTTTTTACATTTCCAGCAGGCCCAGCATCCCTTGTCAACCCTGAACCAGTCGAGATGCAGGGCCCCAAGTCCCAAACCCTGACCTGGAGCCCAAACAGGTCACTTTCCAGCATACCATTTTGCTGGTCGACTGGTTGGGCGGCAGCGGCTTTGCTGGGATCGAGAGCTTCCAGCCCATCACCAGCCAAGTGTCAAAGGTGGGTGCAGGGTTTCGGGTTGAAGTTCGCGTGAGGGCTCCTCGATAAAAGCTGATTCAGGCAAAACCCATCACAAACACCCCCGATGCTTGGAATTTTGAGCTGATTCATTTGAGATTGGTTGAGGTGCTTCTCCGATCTCTCGCCACGTTTAGGCAGTCCCAGGCTATGCGCCGAAAGACCACGAGTCTGCAGGAAGTCCGGGAACTCCGGAGGAAGTCTGTGCTCCGTCAGCCCTCCGGTTCTCTGTGCAGGTGCTTGGTCGGGTGAACCACACGTTCGCCTGCCTCTCTGTCGCCGCCAACTCAGAAGTGACGGTTCCCTGAGCATGTAGACTGCATGCATAAATTTTAACCCCCCTAAGCATTAAGCCCTCGTGTCAAACATGCGAGCCATACGCCCTTGTTTGTTTCTGGTGGGTCGTGCGCGCCGTTGTTGATGCCGGATCTAGGCCCTTGGCAGCTCGGATGAGAGACATGGCGTCCATGGGAAAACCAAGAGAGTGTTCTCCAAATCGCACGTTCTACAAGTTCCTGTGGCAGAAAGTAGCCGGTATTCATGGAGACACGTCCCTGGCCCCTTTTCCTGGTTTGTGCACTGCCACAAGTCTCGTAAATTGTGGATGCGATGAACGAACAAGAAGGTGTTGAGTATCCGGTCCATGGGGGGCACCTTGCGAGCAGTTCGCGCGGCTGGTGGAGGCTGGATGCATAATCCTGTGCGAAAACTTGTTGCCTAACTCGTACAATCGCTAACCGCATACCTTTGGGGGCATTGGTTCCACTTCATATACACTTGTGGACCTGCTCTTCTCCCACATACGTCCGGAGCGCATGTTGCAAGTATAAGACTTTGCCATGTACTGCAACATCGGTTACTAGCGACACTGCCCTGTCTTGAAGTATCATCCCTCGCTTCGGAACTTGCCCGTCGGTCGTTCTCATGCGCCTTACCCCGTCGCTGCTTCTCAAGTGACCTCTGCACGCCGCTGTTGCTTGCTGCCAGGGCTTGCAAGATCCGTCCTTACTGCCACGACCTGGACAATGAGAAGATGGCTCAGGCATCTGCACTGGGTTGCTGCACCAGTTGCCCTTAGGAATGACACTTGCTGCAGGGCACACTGAGAGTGCCGGCTGACCTTGTGCTGTGGGCATCCTCTGACGTCAGGATGGATTTCGTGAAGGTTTTGCGTCGCGATGCGTCGCGTCGTCAAAACAGTAGCAGTTTGGACCGCATCTCAAGAGCCTCCACTCTGAAGAAGAAGATCCCTTGTGCCCTGATAAAGAACTCGGAAACCTAGCAAGATGTGCTCGGAGCCTTCAAGTTGCAAAGCTCAAGCTCAAACTGCAAAACAGTCTACGCGTCGCCTGCGGAGGCAGGCGTGCCACCTTGCCTTTTGGATGCTCTTCGGCCGGTGGGTTTGGTTTAGGCTTGAGGTTTCAGGGTAGCTTGTGCTGGTGGTGTGAAAAGTTCGCAGGCCATAGTATTAATCTGGCGTGGGGTGCTTGTGCTGTCATGATCACTCCCACTGGTGTTCCGGCAGCATGAAGCAACTAGTGAAGAGCTGAGAGCCTCGAGGTCCGATGCACCTCTCAGTTTTGGGATTTAGGTTCGTCACTGCCGATTTTGAGAATGCAGTCCAGTTGGCGGTGTTTGTTTTCGGGAAGAAGGACGCTACAATGCAAGATTCAGTTTGCAATCCTACTTACTCGCTGGTTGCCGGTATGAAGTCTTCATCAAACTAGGTAATGAATCACTGCAAGTGCTTCCCAAACTGCCCCCAAGATTCAGGAAGGCCAAACATGTGACGAACGTGTTTCACTAGTTTGGTGATTCTATGTGTAGCGATATGCACGCCCAACATTACGTAACCGGTAATGCAGCTTTGCAATAATTTCAGTAGCCAACGAATTGCCTCCTCTGGGTTGCCGCATGACCTGAGAGCCTTTTCGACTGTGCAAGTTGTATGTAAACCCAGTAGTATCTTCAGTCATTAAGCCGCTGAAGGCAGTGAGTATACGATGAAGTAGAATGATAAAACCTGCAAGAAGCATTCCCTGATTCAGAAGTGAGTTATGCTGCAATCAAGCAGCCGAGCCAGAAAAGCGTGTTCGCTTGTCATGTGTGTCCTTGCTGCAGACCCGTTAATGGCTATAACCCAGTCTTTGCTTTCCATCCTGACTCAAATCGTGCTAGCCCAGGTTCTTCTACATTCACCTCGCGAGAGAGATCCCCTGGAAGCCCTTCCCGAACTTCACCTTGATTTGGTACCAGGATGCTGTGTTTCGGGTTTAGCTAGGTTTTTCTGCACTTCCATGCCACTTGGCCCCTGGAATTGCGTTTTGTTTGTATCAGTTGCAAAAAACTGCACGACTCCTGCGTCTCCCTGCATAGATCTCTACGAGAAAGCTGACACTGCACTGAAGCCTTTGTTGCAGGACCGGTTAGATGTGTGTCGAGACTCTGAGCCACTGCCGAGTGCGCGCTTACCCAAAGAGGCCGCAGTCAAGGGAAGAAGTCCCACCCGAGTAGGAGCTTTTTCCAACAAGTAGACCCCAAGCAGATTTGTTAAGGGTTTTTTTTGGGGTTGGCCCGAAGGCGACGGTCTTTGCAGAAAGATGCAGTCTTGGTTAATGCGCTGAGAGTTTACAGAGGCTTGAAACTTCTGGTACGTTTCGGTTGTCGCGCAGACCCGGCTGTCAGGTGAGCTTCTCTTTGCTAGCAGCCGGGAGGGCCGAAGCGGGGTGGAGGGTGAGTCGGGGGTTTGTTGTTTGCAGGGACAAAAGTTGTTCCTCTACCCGCTCAGCTTTCTCCAAATCCTTAACGTCTGTACAACAGACGGGCAAGACCTAGATATCTACGCCTGGGTTCGACGCAGCACCGTGAATCTGAAGCATGGCAGGTAGCTGCATATCTGCCCATGTGGCTGCTGAGCCTGCTCTTTGTGTACGAGTGCGGGTCCAAGCACCATGGAACGGAGATTGCCTTGCTGGTTTAGGGTTTCAGCAGCTGAAACCAATGCACAGGCTATATAGCGGCGGCCAGACTTGTTCGTGATATTGTTCCCTTAATAACTGACGTAGAGTATACCCCAATGCCAAACCATTAGCTGAATAATTGTTGCCCTGCATGCAGAAAGAGACATCACCCATGGTTGCAGGAAGCTCCAGCTTTCTTGCTGAGGCCTGTGAACCAGTTGCTGAATCTTTACCGCCCGGCGGTGACAGCTTGCCACAACATGCAGGCAATGTCAAGCTTGTTCACAGAGTGATGAGACCCTCGACTTTCACCTGCCTCGTCTTGGGAAGCTCTGTGTAGACACTGTAGTTGTAGTACCGTGCGCTGCAGCCTCAAGTCTTTCATGTGTCTCATCGCAGGTCTCACAGGATTCGTCCACCTTTAACTTGATAAGCCCGCTGTGCAAAACACCCATTGGCTCCGTCCTCTGCGCAGATCTTTGAGTCCCTGTTCGCGGTCAGCGTAGTCGGCGCAGGCTCGAAAGTCCAGCGACTTGGGAGGGGGGACCACAGCTCCGGAGTTTTGGAGCCCGAATCTCATCATTACGACGGTAGAATTATCATTACTACGAGTATCAGCACCACTGTTATTACTACTAGTATGTCCTCCATCAAGCAACGACTCGAGACAGATCAATCGATATTGTGTTTGAAAAGCACATAGCGTTCTACGTCCGTGCTCCGGCATGCTTGCGGAGTAGTCATATTGATCTTTATCCCCTAAACAGCGTGGTAACACCATGGGGTTCTTGATCTCGCCTCGGTGGACCGTCGGGCGCGCGCGGAAAAGGAGCTCCCCGCGTCCTACGGCAGATCGCGATCAGGAATGCTGCTGAATCTCGCCAGTACTTGGGTTCGGGCGTGATTTTGGCAGCGTCCTGGTGGTCTCCTGGTGCTCTCCTGATGTTATCCTCGAAGTCTCCTGCTGGTCTCTTGGTGGTCTCCTGGGGCTCTCTTGGTGGTCTCTTCGTGGTCTCCTGGTGTCGTGGCGTTCACTTGCCGGTCTCTTGCCCGTCTCCTGGCTGTCTTTCAGAGGTCTCCTGGTCCTTGTCCTTGTCATCCTGGTCGTGCTGGTCGGAGTGCTCAGCTCGTCGTGAGTGGTAACATGGCGTAAATGCTGGAAAAACACAGGCGGCAACTAGTTGCGACCGGAGTTTTACCAAGCAATTCAGGACCGTTCGCATGTCACTCTGGTGGGACGTTCGGGTCCCATTGGCATGCTTTTGGTGTCGTTGTTCACTTTTTCGGGATCTCCGCGGCATAATTGTGCAGGAACGCGTGCTAAGTTTTGCTCTTCGGGTGTGGGTGGCACTGGTATTGGAGATCACATGCCTCCTTCTTCCAGGCATCGGCTTCGTAAGGCACTTCAGTGGCCTGCACCTCAGCTCCTGCGGCGTGAGCTTCGGGATTCATAGCTCCGAGGATATGCCATGCCAATATGCATTGAGGATCGAATCAGGGTGCTTAGTGCCTAGAGTGAGCTGTGGCTCCTGGGCCCACGCCAGACCCAGCCCTAAACCTCTCACGTGCTAGGATCGTTGATGATACAACCCATGCAATCCCAGCCTCGCTTTAGCTGGCATAGCTTACTTGACCCGAGCTTGTCCCGATCCGCTTTCTTGGGTTGCTCCAGTAGAATCGAATCCGCCCCAACTTCGCAAGCCTTTGGCGAGTTTAGTCCACGAGCTTGATCCAGATGTTGGTTTGCTCCCATGTGATGTCAATCTGGAGGTGCGAATCATATCGAGTTTCCAAACATGGATTTAAGGCGAAACTGAAAGACATAGGTCACAGGTCATAGGAAGAAACCCTGAACTGTATATTGAACCAACATGCCCAGATCTAGTTACCATATCATTTCTTGGGGCTCCTCATAAGAATGAAGCCATAATATACCCCCAAAACCCAACTCTGATTGTTAATTAAGGCCCCTGGGTTAGCCTCCCATCCCCGCGCCTCCGAGGCAACGCCGGTGCCGTTTGCATTGGCATATTGGTCACGGCCTTCTGCTTGTGGTTGGAGCCAGAGCTTCTTTGTGAGGCCTTTTGGGGTGTTTTGTGTTTTCCTCCGAGGGGTTTTGGGCTGGGTTTGGGGGCTTGGGAAATGCATTTGGGACGCTATGTAGGCCAGCCCCGTCGCTTTGGACATGTCTCCCCCTTACGATTCCCTCTCTCTCTCTCTCTCTCCCTCTCCCTCTCCCTCTCCCCGTCCCTCTCTCTCTCTCTCTCTCTCTCCCCTCTCTCTATGTCGTCCTCAGTATGCTCTATGTCAAGTACGTAACAGCATTGGCGCACGAGAAGAGTGCAGGGATTCCGGAATGGTCGTCGCTTCGTGGGCTGCACGCCCTGCGAAATGTTGCTGGGACTTTGTGAGGTTTTCGTTTCGGAAAGATGTCTTGCTTACAGCTTTTGATGGCTGCATTCTAAACCCTAAATATGACTTTGGTGGACCGGCACCAAGCTTACACACCGACGCCCCGGCCCCAACCCCTCTGCCTTCTGCCCCGCCCCGAAAAAGAGAACGTTGTGGGACGTCAGGGGTTAGGGTTTGGGGTGTGTTGGGTTGAGGATTTGCGGTTTTCATGGGCTAATTTAATTAGGGTGCAGGATCTGCCCCCCGAGACCCCCAAATCACGTACTAGAATCGCTTGATTGCCAGCCAAGAGTCATGTGGACATGTCGTCTTCGGAAGGCTACAAAAGTCTGTTTGGTACATGTTGCAGCAGCTCTGTTTCCTAGGAGGTGAAGTTTGCAGCGAGCCCACAGGTTTCACATGGCAGGCTTTCGGCGATTGGGTATCAATCTAAGAGATCCTGGCCAGAATCTAACAAAGAGACAAGGCTTCCGGGTGCCTTCCTGTGTGCATGGCTGCTGGAGGTGCAGGGGTTGAAAGTTGAAAGTCGGGCAAAGCCTGCAGGGGCCGAATCGAAAGCGCAGTTGGGCTAGATGAGAGTTGGAGAACACAGAGCATAACCACGTGACAGAGAAGCAATTTGGCTTCAGGGGGCGAAGTTTCAGGTTTAGCACGCATCATCACGCATCGTGTTTTTTTGTGCGATGTTGGTGTCAATGGATTTCTCGAGCTTCATTCCCTTGTCAACTGGGGTGTGATTCCGCCTGTGGTTGTATTACTAGTGTATTACATTTATCATTATTGCATTATAGGCTATAGGTTTCGTAGAGTATAGGAAAGTACAGTCTAGTATATAGCAAAGTATTCAGTATTATTCAGTATATTGAAAAATCACGTCCGAAGCACCCCCAACTCCGGACACTCAGGGCACCTGGACCCCGAGTCGATGCGGTTGCCTCACAACCGATTTCTTTAATCTCGAGGCATATTACTATTATCAATGATTAATGCGGTTGTTGTGGCACTTTTTGTTGTTACTGTATAAGCATTGTCATTCCGACTCTCGGTATAGTTTATTAGTGACCCACAAATGTGCACAACATCTTCACATCTATTCAGCATTGCCATCCTTCATAAGAATCAGTTTTACCCTCGTTCTCCTCCTGACAAAACCCGTCGAAGCCAACAAGAAGCACTGACCAGAGCCCCTGTCTGAAATGCTGTGTTCAACCTGAAACACCCTCCCGTCCCCGATCAAGCTTACACATGGGTCTCGGCACTGCGTCACCCAAAGAAGCTTCTTAAAAGCCACTTGAACTCGGGCCCCCCCCCCCAAAAAAAAAA